TCATACACACCATTCTTAAGCTGCCTCATGAGACCTCATCATCTCAGGAACTACCATCAATCACCTCTTGCACTCGACATTCAAAGTAAGACCCTGATCTACTTCAACTTGAACTCCTCCATAGCCCCTCTCCAACATTGCCATTGGTGATTGACTCCCTTTTTGTCTATTCAACCCTTTCAAACGCAGACGACCACTCTTACTTAATCTAATCAAACATTTGTATCGGCTTTTTCATTCAAAAGAGAAGCTATATCTCTCACCCTGCCTCCCTACTGACGACGTCTGCAAAGCCTTTCGAAACAAACTCAACGAGGCGAACCTTGGTTTTTACACCTTAAACCACCATCTCAATTATAAGCAACCTAAGCCATCCACCGCTCCCCGCATCATGCCCTCAACTGCACCTCCTAACCTTTCCAACAGGAAACGTAGATGCTCCTTGGATGACCAAATTCTTACTTCAAATCATCAACAGCCTCAACGTGAGAGGTGTGCAAAAACTCGACGTTTGAGCAGCAATCCTCTTCCTACATTATTGCCTTTTATCACCTTTAACAGTCCCGTGAATGTGGATTCATCCCTCCAACCAAACCTCATCGACAGGATGCCATTGTCAAATCCAACCATGACATCATCACACACAGAAGGACATCATACTAGAAGTGAAATATTCTCGCATATCAACATATGTCACCCATCCTACTGGAGACCATATCACTCTCTCCTCATGAACCATAAACGTGTACGATCTTTCGAACAAGAAAATATTCCAGCTCATTACTCATCTCATTCCAACACACGTTCGATAAGATCGCCTCAATTTCTCAATATTGAAAATCCTCACTATAGACTATCCCACCTCAACCTCTTTCAACATGTTCAAAAGAAACGTAAATCTCCTCTACTGGATTTAAGTCAAACACTCGGAAAACTTTGTATCGTGGATGAAGTTGATGAATCACCATCTGCTATTGGACTTTAACACTCAATATGATTTCCATTTGTTTCCCTTTGATTTTTAAAGCCTTGTAACTTTACTACTTCTTTCGTCTTTTTTTGGTTTTTATGCTCTTCTTCTGTTTAGTATAACTTTGACTCGTTTTTTTTCTTACGCTCGTCTCAACATTCGAGTCTTTGATCTTTCTTTCTCTTCTCGTCATTTGGTTCTTTTCAAATGCACCTTTCATAGCATCAAGAAATAATTTGTGAAACTCCAGGGAAGAAGATGTTGTGAAGGTTGAACCCAGCTCAAATCATTAAAATTTCCTTTTCAAAATTATCCTTTCCCTTTGTAATCGTTTTTTAGATTTAGTAGATGATGGTAGACGGATTTTTAAAAGTTCGACTGTGCTCAATTTTTAGGTCCTTCACTGAATCATTTGTCATCCTTCGTTTCGATTTTCGTCTTTTTGAAATCAACAATTTTGTAAAACCTATGAAACCTTTCGAAAGTTTCCACAATTTTTGAATTGAGGTTAAGCCTCAGAGAATATTCGAATGAGATGGATGGATGGTCAAAATAAACCGAGGCGAGCGTAGAAAGTCATTTCAAATGAGGAAACTAATCAAAAATGAGGCATCACCCTTCCATCCACTACAGAAATTAATTGATTTTCCGCGGGGATTTTTGATTCCCGGGTAGCGGAAAATCACGTGACCGCTGTACACCGTTTGATGCACTGTACACCGGTGGTTGATGAACTACCCGTACACCGTTTGTGTCTGACGATGCACGCAGACAGAATATTCGAAGGGTTGTGCAATCCACAAGCCGCTCGACTTGCGCGAGCGACACCTTCCCAATTAGTCCAATTTGTATAAGACAAGTTTCACACGTCCGAAAGCAGAGTCGACGTGCGCAGGACGTGCACATCAGGTTGACTATTTGATATCCACTTAGCAACGCAAAACCGCTGCGTCCATTTCAACTCTTCGCTATTTTTTATCTTCGTTATCAATCCGTTGGTCTCTCACCATCCCGTCCCGTAATCACCATCCCGTATTGCAGTTTAACAAACGGCCCGGAAATCATGCTGGTTAAAGACCTATTGCAATATCTGGCCACGTGGTACCCAGATATCCACGACACCTTGACCTTGAGCCAATTGTCAATATTTGCAACATTGGCTGCCGACTTTTTGAAGAGATCAAACGGAGTTCTCCGCCCTTCCCCCAACCAAGCGCCCATTGAGTTTCTTGTACACTGTCTCGATCACAAGCAAACCATTGCAATGTGGAGTCGATTGTGGAATTTGACCTACATTGATTTACCCGACTGCTGGTACAATACTAACAACTTTAAACTTAGCGGAATTGCCAAGCCACCTCGCGCCATCACTCGACGTATAATTACAGAACACACCTTCTTGCCACCCAACACTTATTGTACTCAATGCCCACCCAACAAAGACAGCTCTTTGAACCTCCTCATGGATCGTGAAATTAAATACGGATATCTATTTGACATCGCCGGCATCAAAACAATACAGTATATGACTACTTACTGTCGCAGTGAGTCCAGTTACCCTTGTGTTCATCTTGATTTCCTAGTTTATTCATCAATAATTTTTGCAGCATGCAGAACGACTTACACACCATGCTACTTCCGAAACAATGATATACGTCAATATTATACTGACGCCAAAGGACAGCCCACCAAACATTTCCATGTGTCTCAACACTATTTCATGTCACATCAGCTCGCCTTATACTTCAACCAACTACAGGGTCACGGCGCGTAAGCAAATTGTTAAATTTCATACTGGTATAAGTGTTGAAAACTGACCTATATACCATTTTCTTCCATATTCACCAAGCGTATCTGTACAAAATCTTGTCATATCATACAACCAAACACACGCCAACAAGAAGAAGACCTATAGCAATGACTTCAAAAGCTCAAGATACACACGATGGTTATCTCCGAATGTTTGCTCTCTCGCCCTTGACATCCACCGGCTATTGCGCGTCTATAGAATGCAAGGAATTCGCCTGAAAGGTTTTGCTAAGGGAGCTGACGATCGGCGATTTCATCCTGCTATGGAACAGCACATTGAATGGCTGAGACATGAAGGTACACCCTTTGCTGGGCATACCTGCTCCACCTGCACCCACATTGTCCCCATTCCAAACACCGGAAAAGCCAAGAGTAAGTGTAAACGTTTATGATCATCAAACACGTGTATACAATATACTGATATTTTTGATAGTCTTGCGCGCAATGGTCACCGATGGAATCACCGTTGGACACTGGTGCTGTAGCGCCTCACCTGATCAAATCAAACACTTCAACCCTGGCAGCGCTGAAAACTACTGCAGTGAACATCTGGCAAAGACAAATGTGCGTTATTGCCCAACTCACACCGCCCTATTAAAAGGGATTTGTCAAGCCCAGCCGTGCCTAAAAGCCGTACGCCCTGGAACTGCAACCTGCAATGACACTGATCACATTGCAGCTCACAAAGCTTTTGTCGAAAGGAACTCTTCTTTATTTGGACTACACAAACGTACCATTCGCCCTAATACTAGTATCAACATGGACCCTAGCCTTATGGTCTCGGCCAAAACAGGCGAGGTGGAACTTTCAGAAGAAGATTTGATGTATGGCGATGTGGAAGAACGCGAACACGAAGGGGCTTGTGACGGCGGCGAAAACGACACAACTCCCCGCTTGTTACTCTCTCGAGGTCGCACCCACAATGAGCAGCTCATGGTAGCACCTTGCGGAGTCATAATTGCTCGCAAAACTTTCTACAGATCTGAAACAGTCCCTAAAGTAAAGGTGTGTGCTATTTACATTATTTGATAATATTATAAATAAATACAGTAAACGTACATAACATATAATTATTCTTTCAAAACTACACTCGCCACAGGACTTCATCCGAGAAGTATTTCCTCAGGAGATGCCGCAGGTAATATTCTACGACAACGCCTGTGGACTGTATTCGCACATACAATCAAACCCCACAGATGCAGCTGCTTTTCGTGATACCCTCCTCCCGGTTGATGCTTTCCACATCAAGTCGCACAAAGAAACCCATACTGCCTGTCGTACTAACAACGATCCCAACCTTTTCCCAGAGCTCAAGAAAACCTCGGGTTCTTGGTTGTTCAACACCTCCGCAGGCGAAATTGCAAACTCATGGTTTGGGAAATTCGACTCAATGTGCAGAACCATGCACCCTACAAGATACAATTTTTTTTTAGAGGAAATGATATTTATACATAACACTGACCTAGTTGAAAAGATAGAAAAACGTTCTAATGTTACTTTTGTTGGTAATATTGAGTATGTGTCGTCTCCTATCAGTAACTAACCTACGTGATTGGCATCTAGTCAAGAGTCCCACTATTTCGCAGTAATACCCTTCCACATCTTAATATCTATTTTTGTTGGTAAATATTGACATCGAATATTGAATTCTGATAATATACTGTGACACTTATATTATTATGAAGTTCAAATTTTTTACAACAACTACCTTTGTAATTTTGGCTCCTTTGCTTACTTAGAACCTACGTGCCTGTCCTTCGCAGTACTAACTACCCTTGCGCGTCTTAATCTCTATTTTTATTGGTAAATAATGTTATCGAATATTTAATTCTATTAACCTGTAATACTTATATATTACAGATTTCATTCCTTTTTACTCCGCCTATCTTTGAAATCTGCGCTCCTTTGCTTGAGTGAGTGGAGACGTTGCCACAACACAAACGATCATAATGGTTAGAATGTTTATCATAAACAATTGCCCATAATCATCAATCACTTACCTGCTACAAACCAAATTTAGCACTCACTATCGTGAAAATGCCACGATTCATCTGTCATAGGTTTGGTCACTTCGCATCAAATACCGCGGTTATACGTCGTATAAGTGTGATGTCACAGGTTGTCTATGTCCACACGTTCATCATAATGTGTGAGATGTATCTTAAACTAAAAGTGCAAAGCCGCTTTTGAAGCTCCTCCCTTCACCATTCCTAATTCCGCAATGTCTGTTTCACCGAATGTTAGCACAGTAGACTCCGGTGTTTTACCAGTCCTCAACGATCGTAGTTTTTCAAACCTTCATGAAGAAGATCGTTCCACCGATCACACAATCTCCGACGACTCTGTTGACCGTGCAAATCCTGGCCAGGGCGATCTCAGTTTGATTTCATCCTCCACTGGCAAACCTGGCAAACACTTGATCGAACATCATGCTGTGGAGTGTGTTGATGATAGCTTACATAGCTTGAGTTCCATGGATATATCTGCAGGTAATTGTTTGTTTATCACACTTTGTATGTGTCGCATACTAAATTATTGTCTATATTTGTGCATAGAATATAACACAACCTCAGGCGCTGAAAACCCGGTTCCGTACTTTGAACTTATAGAAGATTTAGGGCGTAAAGAAGAAGGAACTCTCTACCGAGTATTGGAAAACTTAATAGATCCTAACTCACTGTTTACATTTTATGATCAATATGAGGTTGTTAACTACCTCGAAGACCAAGTCACTTACAGCGGGTATCAATTAGTGCCTAGGTATATTGGCAGTGAATGGATAGTGCGTAAGATATATGTACATCACCGCGAGAGTGACGTTAAAGGACTCCGATTCCTCAAGTTTCATTCATCATGGGGCGAACTGCCTTCACAAGGTCGACCACATTGTTTTGACCGCGCGCACAGCAACCGGTACGCCGCAATGGCGTTGAAAGAATTCAAACGAATGTTCTTCATTAAGAGAAGAGATCATAGCGATAGAATGAATGCTATACACCAGAAATGGCACCATGAGTGCTTATCTTTGTCGGTGAGTGGATATGCCCTCTGGTTTGCAAGACTGTTACTATTTCACTTGACATTGTCCTTATCATTTTATTTTACACCTTTATTAGATTCAGCCCGTACATACATTGCAGTCGACGGGTTCTACTTATGATGATGAACCTAGATGGATGTTATCACCACGCCAAACTGCAAATTTACCGTGGAGTTGAGAAAATTGAGTTGACATAGAAAATTATAGAGAAGCCGGCAAGGGTCAGAAAAATATGAAAAAAATGGAAGGGACCTTTGATGCATTCCAGTTGTCTGTCATATTTTTTCATATTTTTATAACCACAATGCATATAACACTACACAAAATATAATATCTTCTGGGCAGAAAATATAAAACCCAACACACAAAGATATTGAGCAGTCTGGGAGAGAGACAAAAATACACAAAAATATGCATATTGTTCCTATGGTTGAGAGCTTTGATTCACATATTTTTTGTATTTTTAGTGTGAAAATTGTTGATTGTACTAACAAAAAACCTCCAGGATTGTCAGATTACGGCCTGTAACAGATATTGGAGGGCATAATTTGAGTTCAACAATCCCTTATATCTTGGTCAATTCTTGGTCAAACCACTTGATTTTCAGTTCATTGGAAAGCGAAACTCTGTGACTATATCTTTCATTGAGACAGCAAATATGTGTCTAAGTCCAAAGAATATCTACGTGGCTATATAGGAAATTGTTTCAAAGACAAATAACTTTTTTTGTAGTGGAGCTACAGATTTGATGTGTTAACATAACACTCCAATGCTTTCCATGGCTTCTTAATGAACTAATTATCAAGTGTTTTGATCCAGAATTGCAAAAGATATAAGGGATTGTAGAATTCAACTTATGCCCTCCAACATCTGTTACAGGTTGTAATCTGAGAATCTTGGAGGTTTTTTGTTAGTACAATCAACAGCTTTGACACTAAAAATACAAAAAATATGCAAATCGAAGCTCTCAACTATAGGAACAATATGCATATTTTTGTGTATTTCTGTCTCTCTCCCAGACTACTCAATATCTTTGTGTGTTGGTTTTTATATTTTTTGCCCAGAACATATTATATCTTGTGTAATGTTATATCCATTGTGGTAATAAAAATATGGAAAAATATGACAGACAATTGGAATGCATCAAAGGTCCCTACCATTATTTTTCCATATTTTTCTGACCCTTGCCAGCTTCTCTATAATTTTCTATGTCTACTCAGTTTTCTAAACTCCACGGTAAATTTGCAATTTGGCGTAGTGTATGTGAGGGCATAACTGATCAGTTTAGTCATTGATATGTGCTGAAAGACAACTTCAACAACCTGCCAATGGAATATCAACCGTGGACTAAAATAATTCAAGCTTTCATACATTATGTGTACGATCTCAGTGACAGCAAAACTGTGATTTCCAACCTGGATTGCGATGAGCATGGGAGGCTAAGCAATGTCGTATGCTTTACCAAAAAGTAAGCCAAAATATTTAATAATGTTTCATATTTTCGTCTCCAATATTATACATAATTGATGAATCATCAACTGGTATAGCTCCACCCCATATCACAGCCGCGAAAGCTCAGCTATGGCAGATATTGTCAACCGCGCGTTCGTACTATTTCCTGAACAACATGATTGTAATGAGCTGTGTGAACATCTTGGAAACATAAGATTGAAATGAGTAATGTAAGATTGAGACTTGCGTTTCTCTGTTATGAAATTATATTATCATTATAATGAATTATTTCCTTCTATAATAATTTGACATAGCCTGTGTAATCTATCACTTTTTGTTCGAAGTTGGTTTAGTGTTCCTGGGTTTTAATGCCATTTTGTTTATTTGTGTATTTGGCTTCTGTTGCATAATTTGCCTATTTATGTCAGATTAGTTATGATTAACCACAACTCCTATCTGGTTCCATCAATTGTCCCTCTAATTATCATTAGAGGGCCTAAATCCTATGCTTATCACTACATATTTGTCAAATAAAATGTAAAGTGATAGGAGTGATCGGGGCAGGAAAGAGCTTGATCGGTTCATGAGTTATCAACTTCAGATTAAAAAGGCAAATAATGCCACTGTTCACAGTTCACGAGTGTTGTATTTCATGACCAAATTACATTCACTAAGTAAGCAGACGTTTATTAGAATGATATCCTCATATGTTACGGACAGGGCCAAAGTCTTTATTAAAATTACTGAAATATTTGACAATTATGCACATTGGTCAAAATTTGTACATACAATATATACAATGGAATATATACAATAATAAATGAAAAATAGACTGAATATGAGTGGAAGTAGGCTTAATAATTTGGACAACATGATTAACGATAGTATGTGAAGCATCAAGAGGAGAAAGGTAGAAAGTGAATGTGAAGAAAATAAGTGATAACTAATCAACAACGCTTTGATCGACGAGAGCTACTGGTAATACGGCGATCAAGTTGCTTCCATGCCTCGCAAAAGAACACTTTACCTTCCTTAACACTGCGATGACCACCTCTTTCAACATATGCAGACAATTCCTGATGACCTATGGTTGATAACCATCTTCTGTAATGCGAAACAGTAGAAGCCATATACGTGTATCTGCTGCCAAAAACCCGCTCCCAACCTTGTTTGATACGTAACGGTTCGGGACCTGTAGTGAGTTCTAAAAATCGCAACATTTGGGTCATTCTTACGCCATCCGGCCAAGCGCCGTTCACAACTGGAGTGAGTGCTTCCTCAGGTGCAGGAAGTGATGAATTAGGAGACGGTGGTGTATCAGGGCTGTTAAAGTTTGGTGGATTAGGTGTGTCGTTATTAGCAGGCGGAGTGTCAAGCACCAGTGGATTGGTATTCGATCCAGGTCCACGCGTATTGGCTCCAGTGGATGACAATAATCCTGTCATTGATGGGACGGAAGGTGGTGTGTGATGATTTGAGGGGTGGGTGATGAATCGCGAGATGTCCATTGCAGTGTGATCGGACATTTGGTCAATAGAGGCTTTGTGGCGATCAAGGTCTTTGCATTGGTAAGTGGAGATACCAGGAAATATTATAAGGATTTTACGATGATCTTCCTGATATAATTCCACGGTGGTTTCCTGAATGTTCATCTGAGTGAAAGTCGGGTGAGTTTGGAAACAAGGGAGAAGCAAAAACAAGACCTACTGACCCATAGTTGTTCTTCTATGTTCCAAACTTGGAACGTGCCATTCCAGTCTTCTCCAAGCTGATTTTTCACAAGCGCGGTGAAGACTTTGCTTTCCTGAAGTGCCAACAATGGCCATTGAGGGGCAGGTACTCGCCAAAAACTACACTTGGAAGTATGGTCCTATGGTAGGTACAACATGATTATGATTTATAAGTCAAGTCACTGCTCGGAAGGAAGACATGTAAAAGAAAGATATTGGAGTAATGAGTAGATACCTTGTCGAGAGAAGACCAAACAAACATGGATACATTCTTTCAGGCAATTTTCATTCGGTCTTGAAGGAGACGTTCTTCGGCTTGTTTCTGGATTGAGATGCTTCGGAACTTGGCATACTCGGGTGAACTGAGTTCGCGGTAAAAGCTTCGACCAGCTTGAGTTAAACGCGCAGTGGCATTGGTCCCGGCACCGCTGGGAGTTGTATTGTTGTTAGTCAAGGGCGACTGAGACAAAACCGGCTGGGCTGCTTGGTTATTCAGTTTCTTAGCTTTAGTCTTTGCCATCGACTCGTGCTTGCCACAGAAAATCCCCTGTGGAAGGAACGCCACACAACACTTACATGTCCAGTTTGTCAGCAGGGCGATCGATCAAAGGTGGTGGGTAAGAAGTTATACATGACATACCTTTGAACACGCATCAATGGCGCAACCAGCGTTCTTGCGCACAGTGTGTCCTTCGGCCGTCTGGCCATCGCGACCTCGGCACATATCTTCTGGTCGGTGTTTAGGTGGCCGTCTGGAGGACTTTGCGCGAGACTGTGAGATGGTTCGCGGTTGTGTTGTTGGTGAGGTTTGTGATTGCTGTGAGGTGATGGTTGGGTCAATTAACGTGATGTTGGCCATGGTGTGGTTATGACGTAGAACCTCTAGCTTGTACTCTTGGGCGTTGTATTGCCAATAGTAGGTATTATCGAATCGGCACTAGAACATTCACAATGGTCATCGGATAGGAGGGAGATACTATATCAACAATATGATACAAGAATTAGTATGAGGGAAAGTGACCGGTACCCACACGTATGCCGATTGACGGAAATCGAAACGTTCCCTTGGGCTGGTAGTAAGTGGTGCTATGGGGACGAGGGTGTTTGCAGCTATTGGATACACAGTACTGGCCGGTTTCTTGACGCGGTACGGGGATAGGTAAAGGTAGGTTTTGCTTGATGGGATTCAAGTGAATTGGAGGTCCTACCGGTGGCATAAACGTATAAGAAATAAAATGCAATATAATATCAGTAGAAAATTATATAATATAGCCTCACAGGGTGCTTGATTAATGATGAATGATAAACGTGACTATGTAAGTAAAGGAGGTGAGTTAAGGTGTGAAGGTGATGAAACACAATGGATAAACGTATCAATACAAAAGGATGGATGTTATGATACGGGCTGACTTATCATGTGGTTTATAAGGATGCTGTGAAGAAGGAAAAGCCATGGCCAAGGTGCTGAATACAATGAAGTCCTACCGCCGATGTGACCTTGGTGCACCGGCAAATTAAATGCTCATCCTCTTCCAAGTGTGTCCAATCGTGTGTCCAATCGTGGCTCGATTTGTCTAGGAAACGAGTAAAACTTTGGTGTGTTTGCCTTGTTAGTTCCGCAAGTCACATCGTTCAGTGGTCATACCAAGTATGTAGCCGGACTCGGCGGCAGGGGCAGGAATTTTACGCCGATTAACCTCGGCTGTCATTGATTATCGGCGTACGCCGTCTACGCTGGTCCGAGGTGCTGCGTTGGTGCGTTTCGCATCGGGCTTGAAGGAGTATGATGATCACCGATGACAATGAGTGTGGGATAAGGACGATGAGTGTGGGATAAATCATTGTGGGATGTTTGTACGGATGTGTCCATCTGTAATCATATTATCATATTACCAACTGGCTGCGCCCCTGCGCACACATGTATCACTCGCGCGAGCAGAGCGACTCGCGATTTGCACAACCCTTCGTTTGCTCTCCCATCAGATGCTGAACAAAGAGATAGAGGAGGACAAATGTTTGAGTTGTTACTACACCAGAGGTGGTTCCTCACGTCCTGCACTGTTGGTAGACACAACACTTCTTGCAGTGGTATGAGCTATCTGACCGGACCTGCTTTGCTGGGTGTTTCATGCAGTCAGAGGATTAGCACGTACTGTTACATACTTCAAGGGAAGCATAATGTAGAGTCACAGAGCAAGGCCACCCAAGCACCACTCCGACTTCCACATCACCGATCGTGCTTATCAATGTACTAACTGATACACTTGGAAATCTTTCTGATGCTTGTTGACCTGAAAAAGCTGCCACGTGTGTTGGTGTAAAGTTATCAAAGTCTCTCCTGCTCCTCACGAACACGAGCTGGGGACTACTTCACTTGTGAGGCACGGGAGAGATTTTGATAAGTCAGCTTAGACTATGTGCTTCAATGCCTTCATGCGTGTCGATTCCCACATATTGATGTGTCTTACGGCACAACATTCATCACCCATTGACACGTAACGACGGACCTCGCACGTGCCAGGCTTTTCTAGAAATAACGCCGCTCTGATCTTGAATAAAACTCGTCTGATGCCTCGCGTTCGGGTTCTGTCATCTGTTGGGCTTGCATGGAGCTCATTACACACCTTTCCAATACTCCTAGTTATGGGACTGATGCATGTAAGAAACCCCCTTTGGCGACGAATCCCGAGCTCAACGAGCGTTTAATTATCAGGCTAGACAATGGTGACGCCGGACCATCTACGCTAGGATGGCCACCGCGCCCAGTCTAGCGTACATACAGCGAATTCGACAAATCTTATCGATCAAAACTGATTCGAAGGTCCTTCCTGGCGGGGTGATCTCCAAAAAATCGAACCCTGCGCGTAGCGCGGAAAAAATCCGCGCGGAAGTGGAAAGGGTGGACTTTCTCAAGAGGCTACATTCGGAGTCATGTAGCAGTTACTTCACCAGCAAATCAATGATCCCGATATAAAAGACCCACCCATTTCATAGAAGGCAGTGATCGTGCTTATTGTTCCTCGGCGATTTAAATTTCAGCTATAAATAGTCTAAATCACATCCTGCGTTAGTCCTCATTATGCCACGTCTAGGCAGATTATTTCAAATGTCTCTTTTGACCGCCCTCCTCTGCTTGCCAATGTTTAACTTGATGTCGTCATCAACAGGGAGGGGACTCGGTAAGCTCTGATGCGTGCTCTGCGATCTGCATCTCATTCTAGAGCACCAGTGTGCACTCGAGATCACACTACTATCCTTATTGCGCTTTGTTTAGAATGCTCAAGGGATATCTGTTGACGATCTTTCGCTGTCCGCAAATTTTTCCTCCGTGTCCTGGTTTTCAGAACTCGAAGCAGGTGTGTTCGGATAGATGCTGTATAATCCTATATCTTACGCTAAATCGTCAGGTTGACAGATTTGACCGCTGCGCGGAAGGTTGCAAATGAGTTTTTCAAGCGCGTAACCGAATCACCCGTCCCAGGAGATGACCTGAGTGATATCTTTGCAGAAACACCCAGAGTCCACATAAATCGGAATACTATACAACTGGGCGGTGAGTTCCGAATGGCAAACATGTAAAGACGGTGAAACTCACGACTGAGCACATGAGTTTTTTGATAATTCCTCGAATCTTTCTGATCAATGACTATGTGTGTTAACACCAGGTTTTCCTGACAGGGTGGCCGAAGGGGAGTTCACGGGGTTTAAAGGTGAAGACTACAATAGTAAGCCATAAATCGATTCTAAAATCTAATTTCGAGAATCTCAAAGAATCTTGATTTCTCTTCTATCTCATCATAGTCAAAACAACTAAATACGAACCGAATAACTTTCAAGTTACTTGGAAGCATCCTACGGGTACGGGCAGCGCCCACCTGTGGAAAAAAGACGGTTACAGGATCTTCGCTTTAAGCATTGAACATTCCGAGCCAAGCACATCAGGCGCATGACACTGTTAGTCATATACGCCTTCACCGTCTTGTCTTTCCATCACGGGATTTTTCAATCAAAGCTCAATCCATCATCGTAGAGTCTCAGATATCACAACGCTGAACTCATTTTGGTCACAATCCCAGCCCCAATGGTATCACGCGCTCCAGAGGATGGGTGACTCTGATTGATACTATATCAAACAGGAGAAACACACTTTTGGCTTGTTCTGTTGAGTACTTTCATGAGGACACGTAGACAAGGCTTCCCCCGACCAATATTATGACATCAGGTGTTCATTTCTCTTCTTGCGATCACCGGTGCCTGCGATGAAGATAGGCAAAAAGGTTGATACAACAAAACTTCTACCCACCCACCAAAACATGTGCACAATGAGGAGAGACAAAATCATCAAACCCTAACAAAATGAAATTATATTGATACTCCAAAACCCCCCCAAAAAACTTGAAAAAACAGTGACCCCTCAAGAGTTGAGGTAGTTTCATTAACTTTCCTACTAGAATTGCTTGCTAAAGTAAGAAGATGACCTAAAAGATCCTCAGCAGAATCCCATCTAGCAGCTGAAATCCTATCCAAGATTTTTGAAGATATTATATACAATCCCACTCAAATCTGTATTTACAACAAAATATAAATCCCAATTCAAAGACAAAGCACTCTTAAATCTGTACTGATCAGCTGTGATTCTAATACAATTTTGCATTTCACTTGAAAATTACTGTGGAGTGATGTGACATTGATAATTTGTAAATATATCTGTTTGATCCTATATCTTCCCATGGCACAATTAGACACACTAAAAGGACCAAGAGGTTAACATTCATATCCCCAAAACTGAAAAAACCTTCAAAGATTATTTTAACTTTTATATATAAACTTGCTTCAACCCATTTTTTCACTGAATTCAACACTTTCCGTCAGCTCTACATTGAAATCTAGCAGCATTTACCACAGTATCCATCCTAGAATTCTCTTTCCAATCTGCAATAAAAATACCCTCATCTTTGAAGGCCCGTGAAATCCCTGGCTTCCCTTTGATAAAGCATGTTGAACTCTTTGGTATTCATGCACTGCCAACATAGATGCCTCGGGTTGCGGAATCCGAGGCATCATCGGAGGTAAAACCTCGGACAAGGTCTGTCCGAGGTTTTTGTCCGAGGTAATCTTCTGCGCTGGGAATTGCCTCGGATCAAAACCTCGGACAGCTTCTGTTGGAGGTTGGTAATCCGATAATACCTCGGATTTTTCAATCCGAGGTAAATATGTTGGCGGTGATGACCACACCATTTGATCTTTTTATGTATAGATAGATATGTCAGTGATCCTGGATTTATGCTCTGAAATCTAGTCTTCTAACTAATAGATCTTCCATATACCAGGTTCTGCAATGATTATTTATATGTACCTGCTGAGATCAAATAATCATAACTAAAGAAGAAAAGAACATCTGAAGGCCACAGAGCCGTCTATGTATGATTCCGCAAAGGCTGTGAAAAACAGCCACTGTCCACTGAATGAGAAACAAAAAAGATTTAGTATACTTCTGCTTCTGCCAAACCTATTGCACATATTGATCACCTATTGTAAAATCAAAACAAAAGTTCAAAGTAGGTCAATGATTGGAATGGAACTACTCAAACCAGATTTATATGGTGCTTATAGTTGTAGGTCACTTGTTATTTACTGATTTGAAAATTATACTGATAGGTACTGTGTAAAGTTTGATGAGATTAATGGGTTGGTTTTCTAGTTTTTTATTCACCTCAGTGGTAAAATGACATCATTGCTAGTTTACCTTTTTTGTTTCATTCATCAATTTTTCTCTTTACCTTTCATCATTTCCTTGATATTTCCAATTCAGTTCATCAAGAGTTTTACTTATTAAGAGCAATTGAGTTTCAAAGCCCTCCCTTACTAACCTGGTTTAACAATCATATCCCTTTACTGGCCAATTGTCAAATTTTTAAAAAAAATGTCTATTGACATAAAAAATGTTGTATTTCAGCTGCAGAAAAATTGAAATAGTCATTCAAAAAGCCTATGATTGGTTTATCTTATATATACATGCATAACTATTGTTTGTGTGTTTCATTATAAAAGTCTCTTTTCTTACATTGTTTTTAGTCTTAATTCTTGAATTGTTTTATGTTGATTGTTTTATGTACTGCTAGCCACCCCATAGGGTCTTTGTTTGTTGGATGAATGGGTCTTTGGCTCAAGATACTAAGTATCAAGGTTCACACTTATCAGTTTCTGAGGCTTGATTTATTAGCATGGTGATATAAAGCAGTAACACAATCTGATGTACCTGTCAGAGCAGGGACAAGATTGATCCAGAAACTTAACTTTGAATCACCTCCGGAGTCTGGCAAACCTTGAGGATACTCACATTCTTCCAGGATTGTATTAGTAAATCTTGGATTAATAGAGAAGAAGTCAGAAGTGCTCCATCAGTTAGTTGATGAATGAAAACAGAAACAATACATCAGGTTTGAACCTGGGTTTGAAATTGTTACAAACATGCTATAAGAGCATCAGCAGCGGAGCCCTTACCATGTGGTCTCTCAACAATACGGGTGGCAACATTGTCAAAATTCACTTCAGCGGACCCTGTAAAATGCAAGGTGGGACGTCAAGAGTCTCTAGATTTAGGGGGTCAATCAAGAGTCTTGATGTCACATGCAACCCAGTACTGGCATTGAATATGCCACTGACGGGGTCCTCAAGTGGATGTGTGGTTTGATACTGTTGGGTACAAGCATACCAAAACACCTCAATCAAGTGTTTTCTGTACATTTAAGTGCTCTGCTGCACACACACCCTTTTTCAGACCCCCTATGTTAGAGAATTGCTCTTGGGGGTCTGTTTGGGACCCCCTAAAATCCAGGCACTGCTGTGGATGCTATAAAATCATGTGATCTACAGATTGAAACATGTAAAGAAGATAAAACAATCAGTGTGATATTGTGAAATGAATCAATTCAAAGTTACACATACATGTCAATCAGTGATTCTTTTGTGAAACTCTAACAAGCAGATGACAGAAACAGCCCACTGCAAATATTAAACAACTTCCCTTCAATTGAGCATGGGGAAATGATTAGAAGTAGAATTGATAAAGCATTGATCATTGCACACCTGACCCACAGAGCCCACACTATGTATGTGCAGAAACATGGGTAAAATGGGAGCTATCATGTACATACAGAGATGCCTCATATATTGACCCATCTGTATGAGTCGGCCATTCGTTAGACCATCGGTTTTTTTTTCTCTTTACCAATGGCATGTCAAAATTTGACTTCATACACTGACTCATAGCTTTGGTGTGTACATTGATTAAACTTCATGTAACACCCTCTCTGTTACTATCAAATGGCGTCCAGAGTATTGCCTTAGTGGCTACAGAGGTATATATAGTCAATTTTTGGAATGCCTTTGTCAAACTAAAAAAAGTTACAGAAGGTATTACATATGGTCTACTCATCCACAAGAGCCAGTATCTGAGCATTTCTGTATGTACATGATAGCTCCCAATTTACCCATGCTACTGCACATACATAGTGTGGGCTCTGTGGGTCAGGTGTGCAATGATCAATGCTTTATCGCCAATTTTACTGGTTACTTGTAATCATTTTCCCATGCTCAATTGAAGGGAAGTTGTTTAATCTTTGCAGTGAGACATGCCTTGTGGCAGAAAAACCTAGAAAAAAGCTGAAATTCTGAGGGCGGTCTGTCATGTATGATCCCTCTAATTCAGATTTTTCATAAGGAAAAACTGTAAATGGCTAAGAAGACCGTAAGACCTATAAATGTAGTGCAGCGTATTAGCACTCTTCTCCAACAAGCTCAGGTATGCAGACCTTTGCTAACCTAAAGGTTTGGGAGGTAAAGATGAAATGAGAAACAAATAAGTAAACTCAAGAGTTTATAATAGTTGATCTAAAGGAAGTTTCTCTTTCCAACAGATATCATATTATTAATTACTAATCAACTAACCTATAAATGTAGTGCAGCGTATTAGCACTCTTCTCCAACAAGCTCAGGTATGCAGACCTTTGCTAACCTAGAATAGATAAAGATAGAGATAATGAAAAAGAAAGACAAGTTAGACTAATGAAACGTAACAGAAAAACCAGATGAATTTGTACCTAAAGGTTTGGGAGGTAAAGATGAAATGAGAAACAAATAAGTAAACTCAAGAGTTTATAAGAGTTGATCTAAAGGAAGTTCTACATCGAATGATATCAGTATTATGATGAAATACAAAAATTCAAGTGAAAGACTTACTCTCTTTCCAACAGATAAGGAAAGAGAGACAAAGTCGAGAAACACAGTCAACTACATATAAGAGAGAATTCTTGAGAAAACATATTGGGATTGATGTTCATCAAACTTGTTGAGAAATAAAAAAGTAATCTGAGAACGAAAAACATATCTAAAGCACTTTGCATCTAACCAAACTACATTTCGAAACTACAGTCTTGATTGTCTTTTAACACACCCCCTCAATCAAGACACGCTAAGAACACTTCTTCAAACCTATACCTTTCATATGCTCCCAGAAGGGTCCAGCATGTAATGGTTTTGTCAATAAATCCGCCGTCATATCTTCAGAGTTGCAATAAGTTAATGTAATTCTGTTTTGCTTCACCTGTTCTCGTATCCAGTGATGTTCAATGTCAATGTGCTTAGTCCTCCCGTGATTTACCACATTCGAAGACAGGTCAATTGCACCAAGATTGTCACAGTTAATGCTAACCGGTCCATTCCATTCAAAACCAACATCCCTAAGCAAGTTTCTTAGCCATTGAACTTCTTGTCCAGCTTCAGTAGTCGCCCTATACTCAGCCTCCGTCGAAGATAAAGCCACCGTCTGTTGTAGTCGTGATCGCCAAGAGATTGCCCCCCCGAACAAAGTGGTAAGATAACCCGTAGTTGATCGCCAAGTATTTTTGCACCCCGCCCAATCAGAATCGACGTTGGTGAAAGGTACGTT